TTAATTTGACTTGACATGCCTTGTCATTTTGACGTGTGGCATGATCCTATTGGCTCTTTTGTTTGATTTGGCGTGCCATGTCATTTGACACGTGGCACCGAATTGGGTCTCTAGGAAGATGACATCTTGGGCTTAGTGAAGTGGGCTCATATCTTTTAGCCCAATTAAATGGGCTAGCCCAATAGATTCGGACCTATTTATTTAACCCATATATATTAGACTTATATAATTAATTCAATTATATTAGCCCATAATATTTATTTGGCCTAATATATTTTGCATTTAAAATATAATACATGTTATTTTATTAGATTTAACTCCCATAAAATTTATATACCTACACTACCACGGGACATTTGTTTTTAATAAGAAAAACTAACATGGGACAGAAACTAAGAGAAGACTTCGTAGACAGGAGGAAAACAAAACGACAAACGGCGTAGAAAAGATATGAACAAAAGTAAATACTCCCCCAATATCAATTTAGATGAGGTAGTTTAACTCGGTACGGAGTTTAAGAAAAAAAAAGAATACTTTTGAAACTTGTGGTATTAAAAGTTTAAAGGATAAAAGTTTTATGGGGCCATGACATTTGTGTGGCTATAAAAACTTCTCAATAAGGGTAAACTGGGTAAAATAAAGAGTTTAAAATGAATTATTTTTAAATTTAGAAATGTATTATTTATTTTGGAACAGACTAAAAAAAAAAATATCGTCTAATTTGAAACCGAGGAAGTAAAATGTTTAATACCATCCTCGTGAGAAGCTTTAGCAATTTTGGGCTGTCAATTCTTCACGCAATTTCGGCAAAATCAATAGAAAATAAGAAGAAACGAACCGCAGAACATCTTGTGGGCGTGCCGGAGTGATTATCGGGCATGACTAGAAATCATGTGGGCTCTGCCCGCGCAGGTTTTTGTCCAATTTTATATACCAGTTATTTATTTCTTGGATTAAATCATTTGTTGTCATCATTCTGAATTTACTGCATATATCACCCTTTCTTCTTAGTCATTCCAATATATATTCACTACTAATTGGAGCATAAAGAAACTTAATATTTAATTTCCTGTCATTGGAGTGTCTGTGAAAATGATCAATCAGATATGATGAATTGATAGTTGATAACTTAAGTTAGATGACTATAATAAATTGAGAAATCAATAGAGATTATTAATTTCTTAATAGTGCCAAATCCAACCTCCTCGAACACTGTACTTCGTTAATTTGGATTAATAATAACTCTTGTATTTTGTTCCGAAGGTGACCTAAAAAACTGTGGTGCACGAGTTTAAACTCCAGTGAGCTATACTTGTGTGTTGTTTTAGGTGGGGGTGACGGAAAATTCTATCTCGATTAGATTTTTATTACTAATACTTTTGGGGTTTCTAGGAAAAGACTTTACACAGAACATAAGAGCTTTAGCTAGATGATAAAGCTAATTAATTTGCAAGGGAAATGAAATTATAATCAAGTATAAAAATTCTGTTTATTTGTAGGTATGTGTATTAGGGGTGTACAAACCGAATCGGAAAATCGCACCAAGCCAAAAAGTCAAACCAAACCGATTAAAAAACCCAACTAGGTTTGGTTTGATTTTGTTTGATATTGAGTAGAAAAATCCTAATCAAACCGACATATAAATATATAATTTTTATATATACTTTTAAGATTTTATATAGAATTTTCTTTAGAAAATGTCTAGAAATATTTGGGATTATCTTGAGGGATATAATGTTTAATAGTATATGAAGTGCTCCATATTTATTAACCTTAAATAATGGGTTGTATGATCACTTTCTCATCAAATGTTAATAAAATGCGTCAATCTCTTTGTTCTTCCGTATTAAATTATTATATCTTTTTCGAATGTGAAGTGATTGTTATTATTTAGGTTATCATATTGATTTTTATGTTTAATTATTAAATTCGGTTCACCTTGAGAGTGTACATCAACGAACAATTTTTGTCAGACGATAAAAAAATAACTATTATGTGTTACTAAGAAAATTCTCTCATAAGAATATTTTAATAGATAATATATTTTTCAATTTTTTATATTTTTACTAAACATATATTTACTTATAAAAAATTTGACAAAGTAAGATTGAAATAATATTTAAATAACAAAAAATCCGAAAAACCAGACAAACCGAACCAATCCAAATCGATATAGTTGATTTGGTTTGGGTTTGATAAAAACCAAAATCGAACTAACCCGATCCATATACACCCCTAATATGTATTAGTGCAAGGCACTCGGGATCTAGAAGGGCGGTTTGATCTAGAAAACCAACTGCTACAAGCAAAGGAAGCTTCCTACTAATTTAACAAACAAATAATTACGTATGAACATTGGACCTTTTCGAAACGTGTGGGTCGGAATTTTCTGTCGTATTGTACACTTTCTCATCTTTAGAAGCTCACATTATACCTTTCATGTACCTTTCAAGTTTCAATCAAAGTAGAGGAAAATTGCCATCTTTCTAGATTTAAAAATGACTTTATCTATTGCTTTATTTAAACTCACTTTCCTTTAAATTCTAAACAAGGAACATCTAAGAACCTGCATATATATAATTTGTCTTCTGCTTTTATAATCATTAGCATACAATAGGTTGTGTTTCCCAAAGTCTGAGACCAAAAAAAACATAACATGTCATCATTTAAGGTTTATTTGCTCTTGCTATCGCTTTTGGTTATCAATTTCTCATTCCAAGAAAAATCAAGATTTGGACTTGCTGATGCTGCAAGACCAATTTCTCTACAATCCCAGAATAGTAAGTTTTCCTCTTCAGTAGAGTATTTGAAGATATTTAAGACTCTTGGAATGGTTTGCAAGTGCTGTGATGTTGTAGATTCAAGAGAAGGAAGAAAGCAAGATTTGTGTAGTGCTACTTGGGATGGTTCTTGCTCCAATCTTCAGTGCTTTCCTTGGAAATTCAAATGATACTCTGATGAATTTTGATTTTCCTTTTTGCTTTGTATATATATATATATACTATTCATAGAGATCATTCAGTAGCCACATTGCTGGCCTATTCTTTTTTGCTTTTTCAATTTATTATTCGGTACCTGCAGTTTACTGGCTCAATTAATCAGAATTCGTCCACCAACGGAGTAAAGCACGTTCTTTATGAAGAAATTCTCAATTCCTATAGGTCAAATAATCCTATCATTTTGGTTAAGAATAGAGGAATACCTAACATACTACCTATGATGGAAAGAATAGGAGAAGAAAAATACTCAACTTTGCTACCTAGTAAACAAAGTGGACCCCGCGATAAGCCGATAATCCATCGTCTATATGATTCTTTTTATATGTAGAAATCACGATAAGAGCAGTCCCGCTGCCATTTTCAAAGAATTAAAAAGTAAAAATACGTATGTGATTCTTCTAAAAAGATATACTTGAGTTAGTGTAGCAATCTTAAAGGGGGTTCCCTAACCCTACAAGAAAATGATAATTACTGAAAATGCAAAAGTAGTTGCCTCTTTTATTTATCATTTCACTCCAAAACGTCCAAATAAGAGAAGAGAAAACACTTTTGGAGTTTACTGGGGACAGAATACAGATATGTAGTACATGATGCAAGTGTATATCATCACATAGAAGAACTCAAAAGATTTTAAGAAACCTTCAAAAGCTCAGAGTCAACTCAGAATCATTCTACATGTTATGACACTTACATAATCATTTTAAGAATCATTGTTTTAGTCAAATAATATCAAAGAAGGCTACATAATAAGGATTGTTAATTAGTTATCCTTATAGACATGCTTACTGTATCAAAGGTGTTTTCAAGTTGTGAAGTGTCATCCTATGCTATTTAAGGTGTCAAGAGAGTCCGTAGAAGACATTTCATTCAAACGTACACTCATTCACATGGGTTTCAACAGGGGCCTAATGCCTCATAAGAACATAATCAGAAATGGTTTTCTTTTGAGCAGGTTTAAGTTATTAGGGACTAAAGCTACAGATAACCAAACCAAACTCAAAGCAGTCACACAAGAATAATCAGATACATAGTTAGAGATCAAAAGCTTCATTGCATATTAGGCAATCTAAGCTAAGCATTTTACACATCACAATCAACCTTAAAAGAGGCCATGCTAACAGTGAAGATGACAAAAGCTATTAAAAAAGATAGGATGGTCAGATTGGATTCTTAAATAGAACCCTATAGGCATGGTAGTTAAAACTAACAAAAACTATCTAGATACAATAATGTTTAACCAACAGGCAAAGCAATGTTAATCTCCTTAAGATTATTTGAACTTAAACCAACAGATCCTCTTAAACACAACATCCACAACAACAAAAGATTACACGATGTTGATCATGTCCAACTATGCCTCCTAAAAGGTCTAGCGGTCGTTGCAAATATAATTCGGTTTACAAGTCCGGAGTCGAATCCCACAGGGAATTAACCTACTAATTACAACCACTAGTTCCGCACGAAATCAAATATTCAACCTTCAGAAATATTAAATTACGACTTTAATGTTTACTAACTAAGAGCAAAGTAATTAAAATGCGGTAATTTATAACTAACACAGAAAATATTGTGGACAAGATTTGGAAAAGTCTATATGATTTCCCCTATTATCGGAATCCTCCCCGCTATGTTTTCTATAAATTCGCCTAAGTATTCTCTACCGATCGTGAGTACTTTGGGTGTCGTAATTCTCTTCCGAGTAACTACCACAATTTACTAGACAAATTCTTCTGAATTAAGCTAGCTGGCTCTAATTCACCGCTTACTAGGATCGCACCAAGGTTTTTTATTCATAATCTCACCTTTACACCTTCCGCATTGATTCCTCACATACGTTAGGAGTGATGTTGTTCTACAATTACTTAAATATGTACCCTTTTCTAAGAAATACACACTAAATAGGCACAGTCGATTGAGAGCTCTTCAATCAACCACAATGTAAACGTAGTTGAACAAGTAGAGACAAATCAAAGGCAAATCTATATTAAACGTAGTAGAAAATCATCCTCCAATAGGTTCCATCAAACCCTAGATTAGAAACTTTAGCTACTCATAAATGTATCAACAATCATCATGATGTTCAAAGACATTAAACTACAAAGTACAGAGATAAACGGAGGGAATTGTCGTTTGATTCTTGCTCCACCGTGATCTGTAGCCTTTTTCTTCTCCAAAATAGTGTCCTTTTTGGTCGAATCTGCTCTAAAAACGTCATCTCCTTTGGCCAGACATGTTTAGGGAGTATTTATAGACTAGGGTTGAAGTCCTTAAGTCCAAATCCGGGTCGGAGTCTTTTAACCTGCGACTTTTAATTACCGAGCTATAGACCTCGTGAGGCCAGACTTATAGCGCAGTCAACCTGGCAATAGACCTCGCGAAGCCTGGTCTATAGCACGGTCAAGATGGCTATAGACCTCACGAATCCTGGTCTGTAGCACGGTCAAGCTGGCTTTACTTGGCCTGTAGCACGGTTTGGGTACTTGATGCTTTTGCGCTCTTTTCTTGCATTTTTTGTCCTTTTTTTTGTGCAATTTTCATTCGACTATTTTTTTCGATATTCCTACACATAAAACAAAAAAATTTAGCTCAAATATCGCACAGTTAATCACTAAACCAACAAAATATAAGGCGAATAATGTAGTAAAAGTATAACATTTTGGCCTAACATCAATGGCAAAGATCATCATCTATAGCGAATACCTATAAGGTAAGCACATGATTTTAGACCAGTAATTATTTCATCAACAAAACAAGATCACGGTAGAGTCATGAGAGGTAGTCATGCAAAGTCAACAAATTCATGAACATTTTCATATTATATTTATACTGGCAATGTAGAAAGCATTTCACTCACAAGAATATCAGCAAACCAAACAAAATAACTACACATAGGAGATTATAAACTGGATTCAACTATTAAAATGAACTGTAAGGAAGTGTACTGACCTTCCTTAGGGCAGCAAACCGAGTAATTGACCTTAGTTGTAGGAATCAATGCTCAACAGTCTACTTTAAGACGATTAAGCTCAACCAGAAATGAAAAGAAAGGAAAACAAAATTGTAAGCGATAGGCAGAGAGATTTATACTTTAGTATATTTTCATTTATTACTAGTTCTCCGATGTTAGGTGCGGCAATTGAAGTCGGTATTTATAGCCAAGGATTGCCTTTAGGTTTTGAGGTTTGAAGATTCAAAAATTGATAGAAAACAAATAACCATAATGAGTGTTGATAAAAGAATCACATGACAGAATTGATGCATGATGAAATCAGAGGGGCGAAAGAAAAGAGTGACAATTTTACCCTTAGAAGTGACGAAATAAGTTAGCCGTTGAGGCTGGTGACCTTTGGATAAAGCTCTTACCCAGAGGTCCTTCGTTTGACCTATGGGTCGTCATACATCACGATGAGGTCGGAGATCCTCATGAATCTGAAATGCTTGCCATATATTATTGGCGATTTTGAATAGCAAAAGGTGTGATGATGAGATTTGGAACCTTTCACATTTTAGGCTAGGGTTTCAAAATTGGGGGTTTGAAAAGGGATGATGAAAATGGGAATTTCGGCTACATTGGCGGTTGGAGGGTAATGATATTGGTCTTCTAGTTGTCTTTCAGTGACTTTGCACTAATTTGTGCGAGGTTCAGGTATGGCATACGAGAGAGGACGCTAAGAGCGAGGGAGGAAAGGGGAAATGGGGCAGCTGGTGAGTAGGAAATTGATTTAGGGTTTAATGGGTCTGGTATGTTTAAAATAAGGGAATGGATGATGGCCGTTGGATCATCTAGATCAATGGATATGGATTCTTAGGCTAGGGAATAAATAGAAAATAATTATAGGGATAAAACGTGAGCCATTGGATCATTTTGATCCAACAACTAAGATAAAAAGCTCATAGTATTTAAATTAAAAGAGAAAAATGTGATTAATCTAGATCGTTGATGAATTTTGGTTGGTTTGGCTTCAGGTGAGGTTAGGATTGGATTGGGATGATTAGTCCCAAAGTGATAAGCTTAAGTTAGAAGAGTTGACCGGATGTTGACTTTTAAGTTGATGACTTCGAAATAGAATTTTGATGGTTCCGACATCTTTGTGTGGTGATTTCGGACTCAGGCGTATGTCCAAATTTGAATTTGGAGGTCCGTAGATCGTTTTGGCTCTTTTTGGTGAAAACTAAAAATTTAGAGTTTTGAAAGTTTGACCGAGGGTTGACTTTATGTTATCGGGTTGGATTTTGATTCCGGGGGTTACAGTAGCTCCGTTGTGTGATTTATGACTTGTGTGCAAAATTTGAGTTCAATCTGAGGTGTCTAAGCGTGTTTTCCGTTAGTTTTGAATTTGAAAGCGTTCTTAAATTTAATAGGTTTAAATTGAGGTGTGATTCGTAGTTTCGATGTTGTTAGACGTGATTTGAGGCTTCAAGCGAGTTCGTATCGTATTTTAGGGCTGGTTGTTGCTTTTGGTTGGGGTCTTGGGGGCCTCGGGTGTGTTTCTGATGGTCAATAGACCAATTCTTGGCTTTGAGAACTGCTGAAGTATTTCTGTTCTGGTACAATCGTACCTGTGGTGGGTATGGCTGTGTGGCAACGCAGAAACAGCTAGGGGGTCGCAGGTGCGAGAGGGCCTTGGGCCAGTAGGGGATGCATGTGAGGAAGGACAACCGCATCTGCGAGACCGCAAATGCATAGTTGAGGCGAGGTTGGTTTTGATAGGAGTCGTAGATGCAAGGAGTAATTCCGCATCTGCGCATCTGCAGAAGCGGATGTGTGTCCGCTGAAGCGGATGTCTGTCCGCAGATACGGAGGTGGTTGGTAGGGAGGATTTCGCAGAAGCGGGAGCATATCCGCAGAGGCGAAGCCGCGTATGCGGCTAGTGTACTGCAGAAGCGGTTAAGTGATCCGCAAGTGCGGAATTACTGGCAGTCCCATAAGAATCAAGGGTTTCATGTTATTTTTCATTGTTTTGGATTGTTGGGACTCGGCTAAGGGCAATTTTGAGAGAGCTTTTGCACCAAATTAACAGGGTAAGTGAAGTAGTTATTTTTGTTGCTAGATCTTGTTTACCCATTGAGTATTACGCCTAGATTATGTATTTTTGAGGTGGAATTGGGAATTTGAGTGGGAAAGTTCCCAAATCATTAATTGAGGAATTGAAGGTAGATTCAAAGTCGGATTTGAGTAATTTTGGTATGGTTGGACTCGTGATGAAATGAGTGTTAGAGATTTATGAGTTTGGTCGGGTTCCGAGGTGCGAGCCTGGAGTTGACTTTTTGGGTTGACTTTTTGCTTTCTTCAAAGATCGCAACTTTATTATTTGTAATTGCTCCCTATAAATTTTATTCATGTTATTGAACTGTTTTGACTAGATTCGAGCCACTCGGAGTTGGACTCTAGCGGGAAAGGCCTACTAGCCAAGTGATTTTGATTGGCTTGAGGTAAGTAGTTTGCCTGGCTTCGTGTGGAGGAAACTACCCCTTAGGACTAGGTTGTTTTCACTAGTTGATCTAATTGGAAGGCATGTGTATGGGGTGACGAGTATGCACATGGCCCTGAATTGTGGTAGTTTGACCGGATTAGAGTTTAAGGTTACTTGCTTTCATTTAATTGAGATTAGTCATTTCTTATTCTATCTTCTTCCACCATGTCTACATTTATTTGCTTAATTTGACATTCCTTTTACATGTTTCTAGTTTTGGCACTACTAGTACCTTTATATGCTTCTCTGGAAATTATTTACCGGATATCTCTTTTATTGTTGAAAGTATAAGTTGAACTTTGGGTCGAAGTATCATTTCATGAAATATTCTTCATTGTGGTACTATTTGAAGTTATTGTTGTAGGTGAGACTCATGTTCATATTTTGTGTTGGCATTGGTACCATTGTTTGAAACATTGAGGCAACACAGCCCGGGTAGGGCAAGACGATTTGATGTGATTATATTGAGCCCGGGTGGGGCATTGTGATTGCTTGAGCCCGCATAGGGCGTTGTGATATTGAAGCGTATGCGACGGCATAAGGAGAATTTATGTGCATAGGACGACATAAGATGGGCAGTGATATGCGTGAGCTAGCAAGGGAATTGCGAAGGCCGTGTGATGGTATAAGGGGGCTAAAATAAGTGAGCTATTTTGGGAAAAACTGTTTTCAAACTATACTACTTTTTACTTCAGCTCACGTGCGGTATAAGGATTGAGATCATGATTCGTGACACTTTTGATACTGTTTTGTTGATTCATATCATGCATTCATCGCTACTTGTTGCATTGCATCGCATGGTCATACTTACCTGGCATTTCCATGCATTTCAGTATTAACTGTTACTTGTTGTCTTTGTCACCTGTCTTATTTACTGCTCACACTGTCTGTTCTTCTTTGTTAACTTTGTTATTGCTTTTCATTGTTATAACAGTATTAATTGCACTGTATAGATATTCCATTCTTTTGCAAGAATCGGTAAGTGTCTTGACCTCACCTCGTCACTACTCTACCGAGATTAGGTTTGATATTACTTGGTACCGTTGTGGTGTACTCATACTACGCTTCTACACATTTTTGTGCAGATCCAGGTACCTTCTATCAGGCAAGCGCTAGGGATTGATCTTGCTTCCAGTTTCGGAGACTTCGAGGTATTCCTGCATGATGTCCGCGGGACCTGAAGTCATCTTCTATCCATTTTGTTTTCCTTATATTGTTGGCAGATGATGTATTAGACACTCAGTACTCATAGAGTTTGTGACTCGTTGTACCAAGTCTTGGGAGGGCCTTACTTTTGTTGCCATGTTATTCTGATTTGAGCTATTATTTGATTTATTTTGCTATCGTTAGACTTTTATTTCATTTTGTGTAATTGTTGTTAGGATTAACTAGTCATAGAGATTAGGTGCCATTACGACCACCTCAGGCGAAAATTTAGGGTCGTGACATGAATCTTTTTTATCTGGAGTTTTCTAGTTATTTGTTTGAATGGACTGGATTCATCTATTCTTGGTATCGTTTCTATTATACCTCTATATGTATTGATGGAGGTTTTAATAGAATCTATAATCTCTTGCCCGTGGATTATCATCATTGTTTTTCTGAAGCAATTTGTTCTAGAACTTTGTATAAAAAATCCTTTGCAGACATGGTGTCACGCCCCAACCTCGGGAAGCGCGACCGGCGCTCAACCGAGTGAACCTGGTCGAGCAAGCTTGTTAGATACTTTCTACCCAACTCACCCATGATTTCATTAATTAGGCAGTAGAAAGATCATATATACAATACTAAATCGTCTCATTGGTTACATCATTATTAAGTTTCAAGATACACACATTCTTATGATTCGAGTGGAACAAGAGATCAAAACACAACATAATTTGTTTGACTTTTGTCTACGGAGCCTCTAAAAGATACAAAAGAGTGTTATGATAGTGCCGACAACAAGGCTCCGGCTATACCTCGAGACGTGATAATAATATAAACAAAAGATACAATACGTGACCCCGGGATGAAGTGAGGCTCACCAAGTCTGTTGGGAAGAGGATGTACCACTATCGTTGATCAACACTGCCTGCTATGGAACCACCTGCATCCATTTAAAGATGCAGCGCCCCCGGCAAAAGGAACGTTAGTACTGTCGAATAGTACTAGTATGTAAAACTAAACACCATCTCAATAGAATGAATAGTAATACATGGGGGAACAGTCAAGTATTCAATAAGAGCTTCAAATAATGCTAAAACATCAAGTTAAGGATCACATAAGTTTTCAAGTCAATTTCCATGTTATTAGGTTGGGTGATCTTTAGTGCCGATATACCATAATTTACAACACCACTGTATTCTTATACGGAGTCCGATCACGACCCGATCGACTAGGTCGTCTCATTTAAGACATCAACCATAACCACAATTTCATTATAATTTCCAACACAGTCACCACCATGTGTGCGGCATGGCGTCCGATCACGGCCCAATCGGCTAGGCCGTCTCATCGAAGACATTACCTTTTTCAGTCAATCATCTCACATCATACTTCTTTCATATCCTTTCGATTCATTGGCACTAGTGGCCACAATTATAAAGTCATTCTTGGAACTTGGCCATATTTCATAATTCGAGTTCCCCTTTCCACATTCATACATCATTATCATTATTAACAACAATAAGGCTTCCTATTCAAGACATTAAATTCACATATGAGCAATTTGGGAATCTTAGGCACATTGAGACTTTTCATACAATTTGGCATAACAACCTTTATTCGATCTTGATATGAAGTCTTACCATTTCTAACACATATTCCACATTTTGAACACATCCTCAAATGGCAATATGACATGATGAAGCATTTAGAATAAATATTGAACATACATCCTTTAACACAAATACATTAGGAATAGCCATTTCTATAATGATCAATTTGGGACTTACACCAATTACATGAACACCGTGGAATTCGATTATAAGAAGAAGGGGATTTAGCCAACATACTTCAATTGAGCTTCCTTTAAACTCTAATATGATCCGGAATTCTTAGCAACTTCAATCTATTTTAGAAATATAACAAATTGAACCAAAAATTAGAAGAATGATCATGGTTCTAGCTCATTTGAGCATTTTATTAAACACTAGGTGTGCATTAAGGTTTCAAGGTCCTTTTATGGAGGATTCCATCATCCCATAACCCGCTCTTTATCATTTTTAACTCACAACCTTCCCACATTCTTTGATAACACATGCATGCGAG